TTTATTATCAACTGATGTCCAGGGGATAGAGATTGTTAAATTTGAAGCCTCAACAGCTGGAGGTGTGTTCTGTATAAATGTTCATTACACAGAATTCAAGTAAGGTTTGTCTGATATATGTTGAACATCGAATTGACAAATGTAGAGAAAAAGATTTTAGTTTTTGAGAATGAATTCAGTGGATTTAGGCACTATGCCATATTTGAATCATTCTATATTAACTTTTAAATTAACTGCTGAAGATCAATCTATCGTAATAAAATCTGCCTCAGCTGAACAGAACTTCAGTGTTGTGTGCAGAACCAAAACATGGCTCCAGTCCTGCTAGTTACAAAATGCATTAAACAACTGCATGTTTAATTGCTTCTATTTTTAAAATCGTATGGATGTACTATGTCATGATGGAATACGATGGGTGTTTATATTTTGGAATATATACGATGAAATTCTAAGAAAAGACTCTCTTAGATGGAATCTGGATGAAAGATTTTTGTTCCATATATATATATTTCAAAGTGCACCAAATTGGTTTTTGTTCTAGTGATCTGAGTTTCATTCTTACCTGATGTCAGATTTAATTGTTTCTGCATCAGTATTTCAAAAAATGTCACGAGAAAGAGAGGACCCTAGGACCGGTGCTGCTGATCATGTATTTGTATTCTGGGCTTAGAATTTATTTTTATTCTACTTGTAGAATTTATCAAAATGAATATTGGTTTTCTAACATTTGTCCTTGTCGTCCACTGAAGTCAGTATTTTCGTTAGTAGTACTGCCACTTATATTCTACATAACAGGAATCTGAATTCTCGATACTGTTTAACATTGGAATCTGAATTCTCTTCCACCTACTAACCACCTACCTCACCTAACCTAGATTAAATTATCTATTTTAGAAATAAATGCAGTTTTTAGCATTTAGAAAAAAACCAATGACTATATATATTTATAATCAAGTGCTATTTAAAAGATATCCATCTTTCTGGCATCTTATTGAAATCTGACTAGGCTTTTATGTGGCATGGTAAGTGTTTATTCTGGGACTTAGTTGTCTTAAGATTAGATTTCAGAAATTTGAACTGAAAAACTGTTTTCTCTTTAATTTCTTGTGAACTTGACTAGTCTTTAAATTTGTACATCCTTAAAGATTACTATAGCATTATGTATGAATTCAGTACAGTTCTTTTTAAACGAAAATAGACTTTCATTAAAATTTCTGTGACAGGATATTTGATTTAAAAAATATATTTAATGATGAAACTTTATGCTTCTTTTAATTTGTTCACTTCGTTAAAAGCTGCATTGGTAGATTTATTGATATTGACATGGGTAGTGGGATGATAAAAATTGATTGATATTAACATGGCCTGTGGGATGATAAAAATTGAATATATGAATTTTGTGTCAACAACAGGTGGGATTTTGTTTTACGTAATTTAATCAAGTCATTTGATTAATCTATTAATCTGTATAATAGACTGCCCATATGTTGAGTGTTTCCAGTCAGTAATTCACTTAGATCAATGATCACCTACTATTGAATAGTGTAGGTTTCTTCTCACATTTAATAAAAAAAAAATTAGCAACCGGAAAGGACAGAGGTGATGGAGATATGGGTCTCCCATTGAAATGACTACTTTTGCACTGGTCAGAATCAAAGTAAAAACAAAGTTTGATTGATACTGGAATTAGTGGAAGTAGGGAGCCTCTGTGACATTCTCTAACTCAATATCATCCAAAGTCTTACACGTTGAAAATACAAATTATTTGTCAATTCAAATCAATCAACAATGATGTTGTGATCTTACCAGGAAAAGGTAGGCATCTGATATCCAATATTTAAGACAAAATAAACATTTTACCATTGGTACACGAATCGTGTACCATAGTGCGTATCTTATCTGGAGAGCATGCGCAATAGCCTGGAATAACCAGACGCTAGAAATTGCTATTCGGTTGAGACTCATGCCGTATTTTGCTGGACATAACTGACTTGAAATTAGAGTCCAAACAGAAACGATTGAATGTAAATTAGTTTATATACAATCAGGTTACATCATTATATGCGTTGCAACCCATTTGGGTCAATTTCTAGGTCCCAAATATTAGCGATTTAGCTCCTTTAAATTATGCCATGGCTTTTTGTTGTGGAGAAATGTGATTTTCTGAAAATAGGACATGAATTCATTCGTAGGGTACCTTAAATGTGATTTTCTGAAAATAGGACATGAATTCATTCGTAGGGTACCTTAAAGATCCTATTTGTTATTACAAAAGGTGTGATTGTTTTTATTTTATTTTATTTCAGATCGAAAAAAGCAAGTGATTGCCGTCAAGGTGTATAAAAGATGTGTCCTTTAAAATTGCACTAAAGACTGTAACAAAGTAGATGGTTTTTTCGAGTCAATCCTTTTTTAAAAATTAGCAATAGGAGATTAATACAGCATAATCAGACACCATCAAAATTAATACTAATTATGATTTGCCATTGCGACTCCAAGTTAGATACTCAAAAAGCTTTATTAACTAACTAACTAGATAATCAATTAATATTAAAAAAGTTTATGTGATGTATAAAAAGATAAAAAAGAACACAATACATAATAACACATAAATAAAACATTGTACGTCACTAAAAGATCAATTACCCTCAATATGTCAATCAATTGATCTTCAAAACGTAATAAATCAATAAATCCATAAACAATCAATAATTCGTCTTTCCATGATTAACACTCAGGTGGAAACTTGTTTATAACATCTTCAACCCATGAGAAGGATGATTATATTTATGTGTTCATAAAATCCTTGATAAAAGAATAATCTGTTCTATCGATCATTGATGTAATACAGGAATTATGGATAGTCGCTCGGCAATCCAAATGACAAAAAGAAATTATCTGAAGAAGGGCTATATTACATAATTATGCCAAACATTGGCTGTGTCAAATATAGTATGATTTTATTGATTGATGCAATAGTTGAAAAACTAGTGTACTGTAGCATCTCGATCTAATGTTTCAAAATAATCCAAGACACTCTGACTCAATATCTAGTGGTGTGAACTAGTTTGGAATCTACAAAAACGCTGGACTACGACGTGATCACAAAAACAAATTATTGGAAACAATTTTGTAAACAATTATTAAACAGTTTTTCAAAGATTCTACCGATATGAAATTGAAAGAGAACTTTGAAGTGTAGAGCGGGAACTCTGAGAGAAGTGGACAAAAATTAATAAAAGGACTGATTAACATTATGTTGACATAAATATAGAAACATAGTATTTGATCTGTGTCACTCATGTCATCAGGCAACTAGAAAGGCCAGCTAACCTTTATTGACACTTGCCACATTTTGTGCTAGAATATAAATGAAAGGCTTTGTTCATTGTATTTGCCCTTGGTGAAACTCAGCAATTCTCTGATGTATAAGCTTAATATTGGGAATTGAACTGAGCTCAACTGGCAAGAACTCTTTCTTAATGGACAATTGTTAAGTCAATTGTAGTCTGACTTAACGATATTGGAAGATAAATGAGGAGAGTATAGGAAGAACTTCACTTATCATCAGGAACGACATTTACTGAAACATTTTCACAGGATTGTTCAGGATGTTTTACTTTGTTTGTTTTCTTAAAGGATTCTGAAAGTTGACATACTTAGAGCGTGTGCAAAAAAAACCTGTCAATTAATTTTGTATGGTAAATGTTATTATATTATTGTGGAGTAGTTACAAGATTATGGTATTTTAGTATACAAGGTAAGTCTGGGAGTTTTACAGGTTTAAAAGATTATATTGAATTTAAGTATTCGAAGAAAAGTATTATGGATTTATTTTATTTTCATGCCCTGGTTTAGATTCCAAGTCTGGGAAGACCTCATGTGGTTTATGTGTGATCAAACTTAAGTGGGGCAATAGAACAAAGACCTTTCCATTTGTGTAGGTCGTTTGTAAAATATATCAGAAAAAGAAAATAGATTTATTTCTATATCAGAAAAAGAAAATAGATTTATTTCTATCATCATCAGAGTTGTCATTAGTGGTCTCAATATTTTATATATATAGAACATAAGTATTTCTAACCTTTAGTCACCCTAATTATAGTGATGACACCTGATCAATGACCTTTTAGATAAATAACTTTTGATCTTGTGTTTGTTGTAAATTTATTGATCATCAGTAATTACTGGAAGAAAATATGTATGTTTTTGTTGCCTTAAAGAACTTTCTTTCAACATACATTATTATTTTCTTGAAAATTTAATTTCAGAAAATTTACTAACCCACAAAAGCTTAATTGTCTTAATATTTTTTAACTATGTACGTGAGAAGGGAATTATGAAATATGAAAATGTATGAATATTTTATTATATTAGAGCAGGGTATTCTACTGACCATCATGTTATATTAACACGTATTTGACCATGACGTAGGATATGAGGTTTATATATGGACCAACAGAATTTTAAATAAGCACACTTAAATTAGGATGTGTGAAAAAGGGCTGAGTGAATGAGTATTCAGGGGAACTCATATCCCCAAATCTAAAAAAAATAATCTCAACTTGGTTAAAACAGTTTAGTATATTCTGTCAAATCCATTGACTTGATGGCTTACAATGTCGAGGTGTTTGTCTTTTTGTTTGCTAATTAATTCTAATGTGTGGTCCTGTTTCCACCTATCTCTAATTATTATCTCTAATTTAGCATATATAAGCAGAAAGCTTTTAGTCTGTAATCACTGCTCCTCGTAAGGATTATTCGGGTCTATTCTGATGAGATCTTCCAACTCCTGAGATCTCTTTGGTATATCTAGAACTCAACATAGAAAAATCTGACCTCCAGTCCATTAAGAGTAATGAAAAAAGTACCCCTAAGAGCTTTTATATTTAAAAGGGCGCTTCATTTTCTTTTTATGGATGAGGACTACAAACCCAATTTCCTGATATCTCTCTGTGTATATTATCCAAGACATGTCATAGAACTTTATTCTTTTGTAGGAAGAGAGTTCAAGACTTTATTGGTTTCAAGAGGATTATTACATAAACAGCTATCAAGACAAGTGTCAATTTTTCAGACTATTTGGATCTCTGATCGTGAATGTGGTGAAACAGAACAGCTGGGAAATGAGTGCATTGATTATATAAAAAAAACTGTTTAAGCCATATTTAGATTATTTTTCTTCGTGTTAAAGAACTGTGTTGTGAGGTTTGTGGCCTTCATTAACGTAAAAGACTTATGAGGTAGACTTTTTTTTTAAAAAAAAGAATTTATTTCTGTGGACAAAAGATCGGTACATATTTAATTGTTTGTGTCCAATTGAAGAAACCACTCAAGTTACAAGAAAATAAAGTGATCCCAAGAGAGGTGCTGCTAGTTGTAATTGTGATTTGTCGATGTTGGAGGTTACAGTAGAGACAGTAAAAATCGTGGAACGTGATCGCGGATGTTGTAAGGGGGGATGTAGAGTATTTGGCTGTAAAATGGATTTCTTGTCCATGTTAAAACACTCCATTATAGCCGACGACAGCAATTCCATTATAAAACATTATGATATTGGACGGCAGATTGGAACAGCTGGTCCGGAAAGTGTCTGGAAGATTTTTGAGGCTGTTCGAATTGAGGACCATAAGGTGGGTAATAGATTTAATTATAATATGATATATAAGTCTTTAAAGTGCATTTATATTTATAAATCAATAGACATTACGGAGGTTCTGATAGCATTACTTGGAATCTATGGAGGCAAGTTTTCCAGATATAACAAAAGGTATGTCCAAAATACAAAGTTGATAGTTACCTTTATAAGGTACATGTATATTTAGTTCTAAATTTATTTTTAGATGACAGAACTGTCCTTGGACTCTGTGACTTCTGTATGGCCTTATTCCAATGTAACCACCACTTCTGCCCTTTACATGCTTTTAAGTGTGCAATGCTAATATATGTATGTAATGCCAAAAGTTTGGTAAACTGTACAAAAAAATAGTGTTAGCCCATATGGTCACTAACCCAGGCACGAAATGATTTAACAGAAGTGTTAAGTTAATCAGACAAACATCATCAAATATTCTCACTTTTTTCAGTTTGTCATATACCCTTAAAGCAAATGGACATTCATAGTTTGAGTGTTGATATTGTGTAATGTCTTTTTAGCCTATAGAGCTTACGTCATCAACTGTCAGTCTTCATCTGTCTTTTCATATTATAAACTTGGATGGACAATTGCTGTCAGATATCAGGTGTGTTAATTTAAATAAAGAAGTTGATTTTTCTTTTACAAAGGGCTTTTGGCAGACCTTTTAAAGCAAATCAAGCCATGGTAAAAACAATTTCAACTTATTTATATAAATGAACTGAGAAGGATATACTGTATTGTATTTCATAAAGTAAGAGAATTTGTGAGAAGCATGAGTAGAAAGAGAGAGTGAGATAAATGGGGTTTTAAGTCCACTCAACATGAACTAGGTCATTTGGGGACTAACATATGGTTCAATTTGATATTTCAATAATTTGCTTGCACGTCAGTGTCTTTAGCAGTGGAAGGAAACCAAAGAACCAGGAGAAAACCCACAAGATATACAAGCTGGGGATCAAAACCACACTAATTGACTTAATTACAGACCTTGTGATCTAAAGTGAATGCATTGGACCTCTATACAACCCAAACCCCAGCACGATGAAATGATGTTCTTTAATTAAGCTTTGATTGACACCCGAAGAAAGTTCAGATTGTTTATTCTTTCTTATTTCAATACAACCTTCAATAAAATTAAGTTAATTCAAAATTGTCTGGAGAATTTCTTTAATGGTGACAGGAAGGACAATAACGTTTGTTGATAAGAATAACAAAATTAATGTCGTTAAAATGTTGTGATAATGTCTATTGATGATTCTTATATAACCGTTTGACAACTAAAAGGTTCAGCCATTCCCTTACTTCCTTCATAAATTCAAAATGTCTGCCTAAAGGACTACCTAGTAGACGCTTAATTAAACAGGAAATGACATCAATCAGCTCTGCTGAGTAAAAGTTGACGAGCTTTCGACATATTGGTCGCTTCTTAACGACCCAGTATTTTTAACGAACAAATTATAATGCCGGCATCCTTCCTTTTCTGGCTCATAAGAGTCAGACAGAGTAAGCAGTCAATCTGGCTGGTGATTACCTAATTTATCACGGCAACTATTGACAAATAAGTCACCATATTGGCTAGATAATCTGAACTTAATGCTTATCACATTTTCACTGATTGGTTAATCATTTGACAAGATAATCTTTGGGGATTTTATCAATCAACTTGTTTCTTTGTTTATTGGTTATATTTTAACCAAGGCTGTATGACTAATTTCTGTCCTGAATAGTAAATTTGGTGGAAAAGATGAAAGCCAAGAAAAATGCTCTCAGAGATTCTTGATGGCATGACATTCTGATAAATATAAAGTGTTAACTTGGCATTTAGATATTAAATAGAATAAAAATTGGAATGTTGAAAAATGTTATTAAATTACAAATTAGCAATTGAGGATGTTGAAGGAAGCAGATTTGATCAAATCCCTAGTGTGCTTAAAATATTAAAATTGACAGCTTGCCTAAGCATTCAAATATAAAAAAAACTAGACTTGATTGTGTTTTTGAATTTCTTTTTCATCCCATTTTAAAAATTGAGCGATTGCAATAAGGGTACTAGGGCTCCGCATGAGAAATCAAGTGTTCATTATGTTGCTTTTTTATACGCCCACATTGAAATGTGGTTGTATATTGTCGTTTCTCCTGTCTGTGCCCTTTGTGGAATGGATGGCCGAATGGTTAGCGCGTGTGTGCTATATCATAAAGTCTGCCACTGAGTCAACTGGCTGGGTTTTGATTCCCCGGTTGTGCGTGAAAAGGAGTAGGGTCGTCTGTCCAACCTCATGGGCTTACATTCGGGTCCTCCGGTTTCCTCCCACTGCTAAAGCCCCCTACGCGCAAGCAAATTATTGAAATAAAATTTAACATATATGTTAGTCCCGAAATGACCTAGTTTGTGTCGAGTGGATGTTAAACCCCATTTCTTTCTGTCTCTCCCCTTTGTGGAATCCTGTGAATGCTGTAACAACAAAATTTATCATCTGATTTATTTATATTGAGATTAGTGAGATGCTGAGGCCTATTGACATCTGTTAAATCCAGATGTCCGATCTGTTTAAAAATTATATTACATCAAATTACTGAGGCACTTATATGAGGCCTATTATTAACAATTTCCATTTATTGCCTCTAGAGTTATAGTCCATGTTGACCTTTCAGACCTGCAGACCTTGCATAATTTTGTGAATACTCTAGCCATAAAGTTATCATGCAATCTGCGCATTATTCAGATTAGTGAAATGAAGAAGCCTATCAGATTTTTAAAAAATGAAATTGATCACTTTACAAGTTATTGTCTTCGCTAACTTTGGAAAATTATGTGAACCTAACCCCCAATTTACCACCCTAATCTGCTTCTGCTTGAAATATACATGCATTGTTCAGATTAGTGAAACAAGAATCATATTGAATTTCAACAATTTCCATTAACATTTAAGATTTTGACACATGTTCACTACCTGATCTGTAGTAATTCACAAGCATTCTTTAAATTAGTGAAATGATGAAACCTAACTAATGAATTTCAACAATTTCTGTTGATTACTTCCAGAGTTATATGACCTTTGTTCAACTTTGTAAAATCTTGAGAATAATCTATTGACAAAAGTTATTATGAACCCTGTTCAACTTTGTAAAATTTTGGGAATGACCTATTGACAAAAGTTATCATCAGACAGACTTGAAAATTATCTATATTGTTGTGAATATAGTAAAAGGAGAAATATTATAAAATTGTTACAATTTCTGATAATTACTTAGTGTTATTGCCCTTGGTTATGTCATAGATGCTTGTCAAAGTGAGATATTATACAGTAAAGATATTAAATTTCGTAGACTGCACAGGCTAGTACATGTATATGTTTTGTTGCCTGGCAGCCTATCTCTTCCATGCATCTTTAAAATATCTAGTAATAAAACTAAGGTGTAAGATGTATATGTAGATTTAGTCTGCAGAAGCAAATATATTAGGATAAACAAGAAATGAAAAAAAAACTAGCCATACCCGTCTTCATCAGTAGGATACTAAACCTCACTTCATTTCATGGAATTAATGGTTGCTTTTTGACAAATTTATGCTCAGACAATAATCTTTGGGTGGTGTATGTAGTAACTTTAATAGAACATATGGTTTTAGAGTGGGACACATGGTTCCTTGAGTATTACATGTCGGGATAATCTTGCTTTATAAATATACTCATGATTAGTTTATTGGATTCAGAGTGCAGCTATATTTTTAAGCTATTATCTTGCAAATAGTAAACTATAAGGATCATGTCGCTTTAAATGACAACCTAATTAGGAGCCTACATCATATATTTGTCAAACATAGAGTCCATACCAAATATAGAAATTTGTTTACCACCTTCATACAATAGCCGAACACCATTTTACAAACCCGTTAGAAATACTTGTGTTTTATGAAATAGTTCCCACTACATCAATGTGAGGTGGATGAATGGCGAGTTTTTATTGCCTTCCTCTTCTCGTAATGTGAAGATTTATGGTACTATAGATGATATTTTTATTACGACTTGGTTAGATTTGTGTTAAAATTCCAAGAGCATCCAATTTTTATTTCCTAACCTTCATCGACTGGTGAAATTTGTCATAATCTTAGAAATCGAGAGACGTGAAATTAAATAAGTCTAGCACAAATTTGATTTGAAACAAACACATTTGGTATTCGTGTAGTTTTTAGGTCAGTGAGATGACTTAATGAGGTTGTTAGCTTAGGAAATGAAAAGAATATAAATACGATTCTTTTTAAATAATGATATAGTTATTGTTCATACGTCTGTTATTATAGTAGATTATTTAATACTTTCTGCTTCTATTATGTTCTCTTTTTCTGTCTGACAGAATGCTTTTGAATATTAAGAAAATATGAATCTGTATGGAAAATAAAATTAATATACTTTGAAAACTAAAAACAGAACATTTTTTACTCTGAATTATTGTGCTCTGTTTTTCTGTCTGATAAATACTTTTGACCCGGGTTTTGAACAGTAAGAAAATAAAAATTGGTATTGAAGTAGATATACATTGAAAAAAAATATAACAGGGCATGATTTGCATTTTGTCGGAAACTATGGTATTGAATTAATCCTGACTTTGTAAAATGGTGATCGACTATTGTATGAAGGTGGTAAACAAATTTCTATATTTGGTATGGACTCTATGTTTGACAAATATATGATGTAGGCTACTAATTGGGTTGTCATTTAAAGCAACATGATCCTTACAGTTTGCTATTTGCAAGATAATGGCTGCACTTTGAATCCAATAAACTAATCATGAGTATATTTATAAAGCAAGATTATCCTGACATGTAATACTCAAGGAACCATGTGTCCCACTCTAAAACCATATGTTCTATTAAAGATACTACATACACCACCCAAAGATTATTGTCTAAGCAAAAATTTGTCAAAAAGCAACCATTAATTCCATGAAATGAAGTGAGGTTTAGTATCCTACTGATGAAGAAGGGTATGGGTAGAGTATTCACAAAATTATGGAAGTTTTTTTTTCATTTCTTGTACTCAGATTCATTATTTAACAGTTAATTAAGAAAATTAAAATATCATCACTAGATCTCCCTGCTTGGGTTCAATCGGATTAAAAACAGGCCCATCAATTAGAATCATGAACATGTAAGATGACGGCAGGAGAGTTCAATTCAGCTTCGAAGAAATCTAGACAGATTCTATTCAAAAAAAGAAGTGAGAAGAGAGAAAATAAACAACAATAAAAGATGCATAAGGTGCAAATGCCACTGTCTGGTCAAAATTTTATAGATTATAGAAAAAAAAATAATTGTTCTGCTACAGATGTCAGTCATGAGCTCCAGTATGAATAGTAACTAATACTTTAAGCCTAAAGCAGACAATCGAACATTTATGATGATGAACAAAAACACTGAATATTTTTATGTTTGTTGTTTGCAGACAACGAACATGGTCCTGCACACGAACGAATGTTTTAGCTCAAACAATACACTTAAGTGCCACATAAAATTATGTGATTTCAAATTGGCATACATATCATATCACTGATTGGTGCTTCTTGACAGTTCCATGGATGTTCAGCTTCAATGGAGACAATGAACAGAGAAATGTATGGGTGGCAAACAATTTCCAAGTATCTAACAAGTTTGATTTCACAAACATTTTGTCCGAATATATTTGTTCGTGTTTTATTTAACCAGCAGACAGTGAACAAATTGATCGGAACAATATTTTAATGAATGTTTGGCTAAGTTGTTCCTTTGTCTGCTATAGGCTTTTGGTAACAAAAGTAAGATAAAGTCATTCAGATATCTTTACCAATTTTGCTTTTGACTTACTTTGCAGATGACCCATAAATATGTTCCAAATATTGAATATTGAAACTCTTCGACAATTGTGCTAAATTTAGAAGGACCCAATATAATCATTGATAATAAATCTGCATGATTTGTTTGTGCTGTGAATTTTAAGCATATCCTATTACTATAATTGTACAAGTATATATAGTGTAAAAATGTCGAGAGATATATTCTTCTCAGCTAACCATTGGTGTGGTGAAAAGGTAAAAGAAAATGTTGGTTTCCCGTTACAAAGATGTATATTTATTGATTTGTTCAGGGCAGAGAGTAAAATCAGTAGGAGTATTATTAAGGAAGGAAGTCAGTCTATACGTTATTGTCTTGTGAGTAATTGTCTTCTTTATGATGATAGACGAGACCTATTGACGGTCAACTTAAATAATGCTACATTTTAACTTGCTGCAAATTTAAAAACATTGAGAATTGATATACAAAATATGCGTTACAGACCATTTATCACTATGCATGCAAATCATGATATTGCTATGTAGTTATTTTTTTTGCATCTTTTAAAAACTTCAGTAAATAGAAAGTCTGGTAGATTGCCATAATAAATTGGGTGGGATGGGGTTCATGAAAACACATACCTGTCCAACAATTGATCCCTATTTCCCTTTCCCTCATCTGTTTATTGGTAAATCATTGAAAACTTATAAAAAAAATTAATGTACATGTGGGCGCAGACATAAAAGAAAACTTGAAAATTGAAAGTTAAAGAAAAGTAGGCAGGCACCATATTTTTAGTTACCTGCTCAACTCATATTAACAGGGACTTGGGGAGTTTGGAGATGGGGCATAGTCCAACCCAAACAGATTAATAGGATAAAATTGATGGAGTATGTCATTGCTTGTCTGTAATGCTTGCTACAAAATATTTTTGGGGTGTGTGTGTGTGTGGGGGGGGGGGGGACTACCCAATCACAGACTAGGCAATCATAATGTGGGTAGTCGAAAAATTTATAGATCATGTCAAGTGCCAATATGAAGAAAATCGTTTTGTATGCCCACAATGGAATGTAGTTGTATAATGTTGTTGTCAGTCCATCTGATACAAAGAAACCTATTGGATTTCAACAATTTCCATTAATTACTTCTAGAGTTACGGCTCTTGTTTCCCATTGTGGAACCTTGTGAACAACAAAAGCTATCATCAAAGAAAGATTGAGAGAACCCTCGTCAAAATGTCACCAAACATAATCTTCTAAGTAACTTGAATTCCATATAATATGTGTTACATTTATTCAGTTAATTACTAAAAGCCACATAATGAATTTAAACAGTCAGATATATACTGTTTGAAGATTTTGCTATGTGGACTTAGCTGCTGAGAGTGTGTGTTTCACTGCCTGGCTACCTATCTTTTACATCTATCAGACCAATAATTACTCTGTATTGTACTGAAGTAATGATATACCTATTAAGTTTCATTGTGTGATAACAGAGTGACCAATAAAATCAATACTTATTTATTACAAAGTGAAACACACAAGGCTAATAAAAAGGATTGTTTTAATTTCTTTGTTATTAATCATTGTATATCTTTACTATTAATCATTGTATATCTTTACTATTAATCATTGTATATCTTTACTATTAATCATTGTATATCTTTACTATTAATCATTGTATATCTTTATTATTAATCAGTGTATATCCTTATTATTAATATCTTTACTGTTAATCAGTGTATATCTGTATTATTAATCAGTGTATATCTGTATTATTAATCATTGTATATCTTTATTAATAATCATTGTATATGTTTGTTTTAGGAAGCATCTGTATTTTGGTTTGAGAAAAAAGTTGCAGATAAACTTCACAAACCTCGACGAAGGGAACAAGTGGCCGAAATATTACGAAAGGAGGTGAATCAGTTATGCAGAATTCGCCACCCAAAAATTATCTCTATACAGCATGGTTTAGAGGAGTGCCAGTAAGTATAAATTCTTTTGCAACATAGTTATCAGTAGGCGGATTGTATCAAACAGAATAAGTACTATAAATTCACATGTACATTAATCAATTTTTTGTTACATGTAACATTATATCTATATTAATTTCCATAATTCAACATTATTACACATCTGTATATACACAGATTGTGTGCAGTGAAGGTGCCAGCCTCCGGTAGCTGGAGGGGCAAAGTCGAAGGTTAAGGGGGCAAAGGTGTGAGTTTCAACTAGGGGCATAGGGGGTCTGCCTCAGAAATGTTTGAAATACAGACTGCCGGAAATGCAGTCTGGCAGTATTTCAGTCTTTGATCGTCGAGATAAATAGATCTGACCAGATACCGCCTGTCGTCTGACCACTAGTTTATTAGATCAGAGAAGAAAGTGTCAAACGAACAGACTTGCGAACCTCAATGAAGCCCCCGAAAATTTGAAAAATAGACTGCCGGAACTGCACACTGGCAGTATTTCAGGCACTGATCGTCGATATATATACGCCTGTTGCCAAATCACTAGTTTATCAGATCAGAGAGGAAAGTGTCAAACGGACAGACTAGTGAATCAACAGTGAATGAAAATTTTCGCCACAATATTTTGAGAAATAGACCGCCAGAAATGCAGTCTGGCAGTATTTCAGACACTGGTCGTTGAGATAAATAGAGCTGACCAGATACTGTCTGCCGCCAAATCTCTCGCTTATCTGAACAGAGAGGGGTGTGTCAAACGAATGGAGTGAACCCATACCCAAAAACTTTGGGGATCATAAAAAGCACTTGTGGTTTATGTGTTATTGTTTATAGTAGGTTTACAGCAGGATGGGTTCGGTAAAAAATCACTCGAACTCTACAACATGCAAGTTTATGACAGAGTGGGAATGTGGGATTTGATCACCGTAGAAGGTATTAACGAAGCATATCACAAATATATTTTTGTTATTTTTTTAAATTATTGGGCGGGGCAAACAGAGGGCCCTACCCCCTTGCTCCCCCTTGGCGCCTCCACTGATTGTGTGTTTAGCCAGTTTAGGTATGGTTATGGGTGTAGTCATGATCATTATGGCCATAGTGACAGTATATTATCAAGAACTGATTCAAATAAGAATATTCATATGCATAACACTTTACTAAAGGTGTAATACCTAATGATTGGTGATTTTTTCACATTCTAATTAATCAATAATTCTAATTATACTGTAATTATTATAACCTGTATGAAGCCACGGTGGCTAAGTGAGTAAGACAATGGCTCGCTAGCCTGGAGGTCGCGGGTTTGCTCCCGGTGTTGGCCGAGAAAGTTGATCAGGATTTTCTGGCATGGTTTCCCCTCGTCAGTGGTGCAGGATGGAGGGCTTGACAAGGACAGCTGTCTAGTCATTCGAATGGGACGGAAAACCAAGGTCACGTGTGCACATTGACGTGAATGTAAAAGAGTAGGTCGTAGTGCCACTGTCCAGGAAATATTTCCCTCACAGCACATTCTATGGCATATGCCTGTCTTCGTTAGCCCAGTCATTTCATAACCTGTACTCACTGATTAATGTTAATTACCACCAGCTAAATAATTTATATTATTTTAAACATCAGTGTATTATGTATTTATCAGTACACTTTATTGTTCACCGCATCATTAGACGCAGGCATTAGTCAATGCCTTACCTTATTGTAAACCACCTCTAGCACAATTACACATAGTAATTACTCAACACCTAACTTTATAGTACATCACCACTGGCACAATTACACATAGTAATTACTCAAAACCTAACTTTATTGTGTACAACCTCTAACATCATACAAACAGTAATTACTCAACACCTAACTTTATTGTACACCACTACTAACATACAAACAGTAATTACTCAACACCCAACTTTATGGCACACCACTAACAACATACAAACAGTAATTACTCAACACCTAACTTTATGGTACACCACCACTAGCCTGCCTTTATTGTACATGACCTCTAGCATCATTACACACCATAATTGCTCAACACCTGACATTATTGTACATCACCACTAGCATCATTAGCCACAGTAATTACTCTACATGCGTATTTCATTTTCTATGTGAAGTAATAGGGTCAGATACAGGCATTTTGAAAAAAAGCAGGTTGTAAATTAAAATGTTTCCTAAAGCAATAAGGTAAAAAATAAAAAGTGAGTCTATTTCATAAGATTTACTATTACAGATTATACACAAAATGCAACACTGGCAGGAGCTACTGGACTTCTTCCTGTTTATTGATATCCATCAATTCTCATTATAACGATACGTTAAAATAATAAATGAGTTCAGAATAACACAGTTGTTAAAGCTTATTATCCACCTTCCTTAAGCTTTATCACACCACGTTTTTTTGATCAAGATGTTGAAATTTTTCATTAATTACTGAAACGTATACACATGAATAATTTTATTGCGCAGTTGTCTGTTATTTATTTGTTTTCATATTGCTTCCTTAAGCCTGGCTTGTCAGTTATTTTTTTTTCTTGCAAGGAAATATTGGAGAGTATTTTTTGTTTGTCTGTGCAGACAGAATTTCTGCTGTAGAAATAATGACACAGATGTTGGCTGTCAAGTGCTGTAGTATTACCCGATGAGATCCTTGTGTATGCTACAAATGTAACATGTTGAAACATCCGTAAGCCTGACAGCAGACACGATAGACTTCACGTATTGCCTGGTCTCTCGTAATTTGATGTAATGTGTAAATTGTGATATCAGAGACTTTGGTCACATTATCTAAACATATTATTTAAACAAATTACAGAAAAAATTCATGATGACAGGAGCGTAAATATGAGTCGAGTTCCGACTGGCATGTCCAAGCAACTTATCGGCCACAAATCAATGCATGTTAATCTAGTCTAAACAGACGTGTGTTTACTCATACGCTCCAGTCGATTTAAGGCTGACGGGATTAATCTTTGGGTTTTACGGATATATCTGAATATAAAAGGAAGTTTATTGGAGAGGTTACTCGTATCTGAACAATTTATTCTTTTTTAAAGACTATAAGATTAATAGCATGGTTACAAATTGAAAAATGAAGGCTTGGTCACCCAGAACATCATTAAACAGTGAATTCAATCAACATAATGCAGTGATTAATAAAGTATTAGATCATGGTTAGCCATTAAACAATATATTATTATACTTACAGCTGTGTTATTTTTTGTGAATGGAAATTTCATTATATTTACAATTTATGATCACGATTCATTTATAATCCCAGATATGACTTATTGCACTTGACTTGTAAATTATAAAACCTTTAAATTAAATTAGTTAATTGCAGTCCTCAATGTTAAGTATAATTTTAATTTACAAATCTCTAAATGAAATACTGTTGATTAGACATTCAGAACACTTATATAAAAAATGGAGTTTGATTGAAATGCAAATGTATAATATAGTACAAGTGTAAATTTCGGGGTTATGTGAACTTTATGAATACATGTCCATCAGATGGGTTGAACACCACATACTCTCATCACTTACACTTGAAATTCTAGCTCATGAAAAATAAATACAATAAGCTGAAGCTCAGAGGATGACCAGTGAGCTGATAACAGCAAAATGTTCTTATGGTTTTCGCTACCTGTGTTGGTTGAGAGAGTACCGGGGGATTAGATTTTCCAGTCTGGATTCCACTTGTCAGTGATGCAGGTTGGAGGACCTGACAAGGAACAGAGCCTAGTCCTTCAGATGAGATGAAAAACTGAAGTCCCAGGTCAAAATCTTACAAACTTCCAGCACTCCACAGAACCCTTCTGATTTACTAGCGACCTCCCAACTCTGCTTTTGTGCTGGGTACTGCAGTAACTAAACTCCACTAAGGCCACGCACCATTACATAATCTTGTCTCACTTTCAACAACTGACCCACACCAGTGGTTCAAAGCCGTGTTGTATTCAGTTTTTTAAAACTTCTTTATATACCTATTTTGACAGTAAGTAGTGATAATGAAGCTATTTATTGTCTTAAGTGGAGTGAGTTTAAAGTGCTGACGTCTTGTCAAACTGTAACAAATTTGATTTTAGATCTCAAGGGACAGAAAATAAACGCCCTGTCTGCCCCTTGTTAAACCTGTCGCAGATTCTAGCTGATCTATCAATCAAACTTTAATCTTTAGAGTTTAGTCCCTAGCCATCGTTAATACATCAATTCCATCTCCCTACACTTCCATTCTTATTATTGTATGTCAAAATGTCCTTTGATAAACATCTATACTTCAAAATGCGATTTCAACAGATTTCCGATAGTTTTTCCGTTTATTTGATGTTAATTACTGCTCCAGCGCTAATACCAGAAGACAGGAAAGGTTTGATCTTGTCCATAGACAGACGAAATATCTCGTCAACGGAAATTAAATATTGTCTGACCAGTAGAGGGTTTATAATTATTACAAATTTTAGTAACCAGATGGCCCATCTTCGGCCAAAATAAATAATAATGTGTGAAAAGTGATGCTTGTCATGGAGAGGGAGACAGGATTTGGGGCATTCATTGATAAATTAATGATTTGTTCAATGTGATAGACACCTCTTATCTTCCACATAGACAAATACCAATCATTGTATGGATATTTTAGTGCTCAAGCATATAGAACAATGTCTGAGTTCCTGTATTTTGCTTCAAGATAGAAATAATGGCAGTGATAACAATTTATAACTTGGCAAAATTAACAGACGATAGTGGGATAACTGCTCATCTTGTATTTCCATAAAATTGTTTTGTCATATTATGTGAAAGTAAATTAGATTTCTGTACAGCAACAAATATAGCCTACATTGAATTTTATAATGAAAAAGAAAAAAGTTATTTATATTGTAAAATGAATTTTTATTCTGGTGGAAGTCTGCATGCGTTGGCGTAAATATAGACAGGGCTACTGTCTCAACTAAACACAGGTAGACTTTATTCCCTTGATGTTAACTATATATAATTATTATTATAATCAATGAATTGGCTATTAA